AAGATATATCCCCTTATTGTCTTTTTAACTGAAAATATATATTCCAGAATAAATATTATAGAGGTACTATAGTTGAATAGTTAAAAATAAATAATGAAGAACTTTACTGATTTTAATAAAATATCATCAATTAATAATTAGTACATAAATGATGGCCATTGTTTAATAATTATAATTATTTAATAAATAATAGACTTTATATAACGTACTGATAACCGTAACTCACGCTTTACCTTGCATTGGACCATATATGACTGTGCGCTGCGCACTCTTCGCGCTCTACCTCAAAAACGGTTGATCGTACTAAAAAAAACACAATACAAAAATTGTAGAGAATTTTATACTCTACAACTTTTATTTTAGGTAAAAATATCATTTAAGCAATAAAAAGCGAGATATTCACGAAAAACCAGTTTTTATGACCTTTGACCTTCAATATCTTAAGACGCGGACACGGTATCATTTGTGACTTTTGAGACAACATTTAGAACGACAAAACAAAGGTTTATACCAATTTATAGCTTATTATCTTTCATTCCGAGGTTGACCCCTTTTTTTACCTAATATGACTGGGCTATAATACAAACTTCTTCCTTGCGAGAAGAGGCCTTTGGTCAGCAGTGGTCACTTATAGGCTGATATGTGATAACTATATTGGACATAAACTGGTAATATCAACCTCTGAAGTTTATCACTTGCCAAATATAATTATATTATATGCCCTATTCAACATTCAATGCTTATATCTGAACTCTTAAAACGATAGTTTTGTATTAATTTTGTACAAGATCGTGTTATAACGGAATGTTTTTTTTTTGCCGTTAAATAAATGAGATAATGCTGCTTCCCCACCAGAGATGTGGTATGTAGCTAAGCTGCGATGCGCACAAGTAAGTGTGCGTTACCCAGGCCAGATGTTGTCGAAAATGGTCATTTGAATCTTATAGATAACTAGCTTTTACCCGCGACTTCGCTCGCGTCACAAAGGATAAAAAGTAGCATAATATGTGACATATAACAATACATACAGCGCCATCTATATCAATACTTTTGTTTTCCCTTGGGAATATCAAATTTTTCCGGGATAAAAAGTACCCTATTATTTAATCCAGTCTTCTAACTTTAAGTCTGAAAAAATTCAAAGCAATCGGTTTAGTAGTTACGGCGTGAAATCGGAACAAAGAAACAAACTCACTTTCCGATTTAATATAGTAAGGATTAGTAGTGCGGCTTCTTTAATTGTTGCGCACATTTTTATAGTTGCGCTTATAGTTTTTTAATTATTTCACAAAAGCATTTCCTGCTGGAATAACGTTACCCCAGCCAGGTCTTTTTTTTTCTAATGGGAATATTTAAATAATTACTAGCTATAAAATTAGATGAAGCAAGTGTTGTGCCTTATTTTTTATTTGTTCTTTATTCGGTTCGAAGTTATTCGAGATTATGCTGGGGTAACGTTTTTGGTTTT